TTTTCCCCCAGCTCGTATCTGCCATGTCACGTTTTCATAAATGTGAACTTTTAGCTCTGCAACGATACGTCGATTTGTTCTAACCCTATTGGTGTTAAGTGCTTTATTTGCTAAGTTGTATCGTACCTTGAAAGGCTGACTTCGAAGCTGAAGATACCCGTTTGTATGTAACTTAATTAATGACATGACCAGATAATGTGTGCTGTCATTATTAAATACTCCTTAGAGAAGCTTAAAATAGACCGCTAATTAAGTTTTTTTTTTTTCGAATATGTAATAAATAATATCTCACTTTTCGGTTTTCAACGTTACACACTAATGAATTAAGAACAAAAATCAAGGATTTTTTTGTGTAACATGAACAAGAGAAATAACATGCGCGGATTCACCACTGAATTAGCGCTTATGTAAATTGGTACATGCACTTACGTGCACGAATGGTACTTCTTGTTAGGCCCGATGAAAACAATATTAAAATAATACATTTTGATTAGTAGCGATTCTTTTATCAGAGATCAGTAGTGGCCATAATTGAAGTACAGGCTATTGCAGCACCTAACCTAAGTAAATCATAAACGATTCTGCTTCCTTTTATTGCTACAAACTGTTCCACAGATAGAATTTCTCGTCTCTTTTTCAGTAGTCGTCGACGGTGTACTTCGTTTAGCGTGTCTCAGAAGAGCTGAAAAAGCACTAATTTTTACCTTTGAAGAAATAACAGGGCAGTGCGGTTTAACGAATCAACTCTTCGTCAGATCATTGTGCGTCTTCTACGGTTTGTGCTATTTATTTACCAGTGTTCCACTTCGAAACAAAAAAAAAAAGAATAGCAAACAACCGTGGCTGTTCCAAGGTGATCGTATTTAGCAGGAAGGGGTACGAACGCGTCCTTGATTTATGCTTGTGATTTACAACTATCTTCCTTTTAACAAGTAAAAAGCGGGAGAAAGTGGCTTCTTCGAAGGTTCCCACTTTTTTTTTGATACTATTTTTATTATTTGTCAAGAATCATATATAAAGGATACGCGAACGATTTCCGCAAATCCATTGGAAAAGATTTCTCTTTATTTAGGATAGCAGTATTATATAGCGCATATACGTTGAACCGTTACGTATTAGTGTTCGTCGTGGACATTTTTTTGACTATATATTATAACAAATTTGAAATGATTGATATGGGCATTATTTGCTAGTGGGCTTGACTCTCGTGTACGACTGGGGTCACAGATAACTAAACAGGCAACGTGAACACCAGTTTGACAATCGGCTTAATGATATTGTTTCATTGAACATTCTTCCAACGTCAATGTACTTTGCGCGCGTCCACTGGCTTGAGTTTGAAAAATGATTCGGTCGTTCTCTATTAGATCTGCTTCTGTTTCGTGCCTCTGTTCCTCGACCCGTCCATCTCCTTCCCTCCTGAACGAAACATCAACTAACAACAAATTAATGTCCTGATCAAGATTGCAGGGCCACCACTGCGTTATGCTGAAAGAATGAGATCTATTTTACATTATTCGTCTGGCGTTAGTAGTTAGCGCTGACGGTGGCCGCACCCGTTGCGGTCTGAACGTTACACTACAAAGGACTGTATGCACAGAACGAGGAAAAGCAGATTTTGTCGGCCGTCAGAAATAAGCACGCGTGCCATAACAATGAACTAAATACGGCTGTAACGAACAAGAGATAATGCGTAATTAATATCTGCTTGAAGTTCTACGGATGAGGTGCGTGATGCAAGATGACAATACTGAAGGCATTCTACAGTTCTCAGGGTGGGAACTCATAAATGGCTATTCGTTGAGCGTCCGATAGACAATGTAGTGGGATACTTTTAAAAACTGGCACCCCTGCGACGCTTGTTGATAACTTGTTGCGTGTAATGTATACGTACGTACGTACGTACGTACGTACGTACGTACGTACGCAATATAGACGTAGCGTCAACAACCGTTGGCACCCTTCGAGGGCTATATCGTTACGAATATCTCTAGATCATTCAATTATCACTTACTGAATAGCCCCGACCGACTGGGTATGAAAATAACTTTATTAATAACGAATGAGTAATTGTATTTTCGTGTTGAAGACTCGTACAACAAACGAATTGGTTTCACTAATTGGGAAGATAACAACAATGACTTCATTGTTAACAGGCATACTGGCATATAAATGATATCTAAGGTACATGAAGACCTTTGTCTCTGTTCACGTGGAATAGATTTACAGGATTATGTGAAAGTATGTCAACGCTTCGAAAGAGGTCTTTTCGACCGCTGGAGAGCCTCCGTTTCACGTCTGGCGACGTACCACGAAATGTGAAAATAGTTATAATGAAAACTGATTCAACAGTGAAATGCATCTGTAAGCCTTCAACATGCAGTTGGTCAATGACTAATCATCCCATATAACTAACCGACGACTTCTTGTGTGTGTGGGTGTTTGATACAGTATGTTTGTTCGTGCATGTGTACAGCAGGATCCTTCCATTCCAGGTCTGCGTACCAAACGCAATCGCTTCTTTATGGTTCGTCATAAGGCCCTTTTTCTGGACACATTTAGCCGTCGATAATAGCACGTGTAATTTATTAGGCCGCGCGACCTCTCATATACCGACCGGGTTCGAAAGGCCAGGTTGCTAATTGTTCGACTAATCCTAAATGTGCTATTTTCTTATAGTCGATAGAACCGTTCGAGTGGTCGTAGTAAACGGTCCTCGCGGTAGCCTAGTGGATAACGTATTTGCCTGCTAAACTTAGGAACACGTTGTCGTTTAGATTGAACTCGGGCGTAGACGAGCAGGCAGCCATGCATACACATACAGAGTTCGTTTCATGCTGGGAGCCAGCCGTCTATCTGTCTGATGGGATGCCTTACGGCGATACCGTACCGAATACGCGTACGCCAACGCTATGCTAAATAGAGGAAAAATAAAGCGGCATTACGATACGCTGTTACTTATATGTTGTCCAGTCCTATCGCAATAACTTCCGTACGTACGTAATAAATATGCAGGCAGAACTTTTTGACCGTAAACGGACTTTTGCCTCACCCTGTATTTATCTAGCCAGTACGTAGATCAACTTCTACAGTCAGGAACACTGTGCCTATGGTAATTTCTACAGGCATGTCAACACGATATTACCATTAGACAACGGCGCACGATTGAAAGCACTGGCGTGCGGTAATGTTTTCGTACCAACAGGCCCGAGATCCATACACTATCGTATCTACCAGTGTTTTACCATGAGAAACATTAATTCCGCCCTTGCACAATGTTTGTAACCGTTTTACTTTCAGATGGTCTTATTTGGCAAAACGGAATATTTCCTAATTAATAAACGTTTTTTTTTTTTGTTATAACAATCTTCGCGGTTGTTGACTAACAGTTTTCAGCGTTGTTGCGTCGTGGCAGACTCCTTTTACTGATATCTCTCGAAACTCAAATATGAAGCTAGACTAGACATTTCTCGTTTTGAACAGTAAACAAGCCCATCTACTCTGTCTGTAATGATGGAACTCAATAATTGATCATTTTCGTAATACATCAACAAAAAAAATCAGGTGCGGCATTCAGTCAACGACGAGATTCAATTTATCATACCTGTCCTTGCGTATGTTTTGTTTATATGTTCATTACAGTAAACACAAGGTAAACCTATCCGACGTATGGCTTCGCAGCTATTTGATGAGACGATATTTACGCCCATTTTAGGCCCCTCTGTATAATTTTGCGAGAACGACTACTGTTAAAGCAAGCTATTGTTCAAAACTAATTGAAATTGCTATGACTCTCAGGGTGGAAACGTTGTTCCACGGCGTGGCGATGAAAATTCGCGTCGCCATCTGATGCGCCACGTACATATCGGTCAGCACCAGAAGCAGCGGCGACGCCGCAGAAGCGCCTGCTTCTACCTACGCTTTTTACGGCCATCTACCCGCGTACCAGCAACGAGGTGGTTCATTGTAATACGTAACGACCGTAATAATGCTATGTCCTACGTTGTCGTATATACACATAACGATGTGTTCGCTTTTCAAAATAATTTATATAACATGTGTACGTTTTTCTTCCGTTGCACGTGCTGAAAGTTCGTACGGCTGCGTTCCATCGACAGCTGATAATGATAGGCTGTTCATTTATTTATAGCTTTAACAAATACACGACTTCGCGTTGTGGCCCGTCGTTGCTTAATTGCGATTTTCGAATATTCCGGTGTTATTTTTTGGCGTGAACTGGCCTGGAAAACGGAAAAGTCTTTTGTGGAAGCTTTTCGTCCGGCCCAACCATCTGGTTGAAAGATCGTCGTCAACATAAAAGCTTTTCAAAAAAATACTGTGTATGTCATTTTCGAAATAAAGTTCGCCATTTTTATCTATTACTCCTGAATGAGTAGGGAATAAATTGATATATTATAGAGATACCCACACGTAAAAGTCGCAATACTGCGAAGCTAGGTTCAGCTGTGCATCTGCTTTTTGAGTCAATTAAAAATAGAACCTATCCCGCTACGGCTTCACTCTACGGCTACACTTCAACGGCTCATTACTAAGCCTATTTGTTAATTATGGACTTCAAACGAATGGATTATTAGTTATTGGTATAACCTGATGCCGTTTTTAATTATTTTATTTAATGAAACCACAGTAATCTAACGTCACCCTAACTATATTGCGCTGGATTCATAATATAAAGACACATACAATTCATCATAAAAAAAGCAATCCCATAGTAAACAGTCCAATACTAGTTTCACCCTTGGAAGAGCAGTTGTTTCATCTAGAAGTTACTTGCAGACTAATAGAAATCCCATAGTGCTTTATCCTCCTCCATGCTAAGTGGCAACCCTTTGGAACGCTTTCGACAAAATGGCCAATATAATTTTTCAAAAAGCAACTTCAATTGACGTTTTTGTAATCGTTGACACTACCCACGACAATGCAGAATTATTTCACGAAATACCGTTTCCACCGTTTGATCATGTCAACAGCTTCATAACTAGGCGATTTATTCTGCTACTATATAAAGATACTGTACAAAGCTTCTAAGTTGACTAGAAAATCTCAAGTCGTTATCGTTCGGTTGAATTCCTTCGTTAAGATAGCAGCTGTTAAGGCGAAATGCCCAGTACGATTCCTCGACGGTTCACTAGCTTGAAACACTGGGTGTCTGTTTAATGTTTCAAATGCCGCTACTTCCAAGGCGAGACCCGTTTGACGAGTTAGAACCTCGGCAAAGATCGCTCCATTGGCGTAGCAGTTCGAACAGATACTCCATCCACACCACATTAATTGGAAGTACAAATGCACCCTTTTTAACGATCGGCACAAAAACGTACTCTTATCCACTGTCGAATTTCGTTGGCCCGGAGGAACAACAGGGATGCAGCATCACTGCGATCGGATGGGCTAGATACGGGCAACAGGACATGCTGTCCCAAACAACGCGACGTACTTTACGTTGTCCTCTTGCAGGGCACCATCGTTGATTCACACTGTGTTTATGAGTAATGAATGTATTTTCTGTCGCTACATAACGTCGTACCACGTTGAAAACTTGAGATAATACTATTGCAACCATTACAAACGAGGGATCCTCGAACAATTTGAAGGTCCGCGCCATGAAGGCGTCGACGCTTTCCATGGCGGACAGGGACCCACACTTTGCGTTCAAACCATAAACGCTTTTCCTTTTTTGCAATCGAGGACCTGTAGATGAACATAGCCTTATTCACTATCGATTCCAAAAAGCATTTAAATAGTTTGCTAGATCATTGTTGAAAACCGTCTATTTTTCAGTAATGTCTCTAAAAAAGTATTGGCTTCATCCAAAAAGTATCGGTATTCATGTTGTAGGTACATCATATATAAGGCGAGTATAACACGGACTCTTTGCTGGACGATCTGATTAATGTTTCAACTTTTTTTTGCAACGAGTTTTTACGTGTACCAATTGCTCGTCGACGACACTTCCATTCGAAATGGCGACTGAGCCGTGAAACTCTGCTGAAAGCATCCACGCTTACGCTCATAGCGGATTAACAGGAAACGAATTAGTCACAGCTTACGCAGTGATCCGAAACAACGATAGAATTACTCCCACAAATCAGGATATGGCGCTATTTGCTATGTTATTAGATTTAAAAACATCTTCGAGTGAAACAGCGGCAATAAGTAATAACAAAAGCGATGACATCAATGTGGCCTAGAATAACAATTCTCGTAACCCGTGGAGTGGAGAAGTTCACCCGATAGTGCCTTATGTTAAAAAAACAAGGCGGAAAATTACCTACTTTTCTCCACTTAACACACTTATGATGTTGTGTTTATATTATCGGCAGCGTTGCTATGTGAGCTGTTACTACATATACAAATTACAAATCGACCGGTAGAAATTAAAAAGGTTTCTGTTGCAAATTCGTAGAACTTCGACACGAACAGTTCAGCTCTTGGTGGCTTATTTGTAGCCCAAATAAAACTCTTGATAGCTAAAAAGTCAAGTTTTTGCGCGGCCCACATCGGATACCTCGGCTCCTTATAAAACTGCAGACAGTAATAATGCGCCTGGCTGCACTCTATGAATAAGGGAAGACTAGGGGAAAAAAAGCCGATTTTACAGAGGGCCACTTTATTCGTTGTTTCAAGTGTCTAAAAATGAAAACCAGAATCTCTAATATTGTTGGCAAATGCAGTTAGAAATAGACGAAAGTATTTAGATACGCACGATCGGTGAAATCTTATAGTATACTCCAGTGAAGAAAAGGGGGCAAAAATCGATTCGCTTCGGTATCTAACAGCAGAGGCATTCTCTGTTACGTATTACGAGATATCCAATATGCCCCAAGAGAGAAGTAGTTCTGTGTAGAATTTACGAATTTATCTACAACTAATCCGTATAGCTATTCGTTATACGGTGCTTGTTTGCTCATGCCATATTTCACAGGTGTACTTGCAATCATTATTATAACGTACGTCCTAATAAATACGCGCCTACTAGGCGCATCGAATAAACCTTCTGCTGGTATCGAGTTCTTTATTAGTGGAATTGGTAGTGATTGTTCTTGCAAACAAACACCACAAACGCTGTTGTAGCTTGTCTAGCTTAGAATATAGATAAACAGTAAAGCAGCCGATACATTTCAAAGCATTTTCTTATTTATTTCTGTACGATGTTCTGCCTAGAAGACACCACAATAAACTAATTTAACGAATGGTACATATTTACCTTGACGATACTGAAGGGTAATGTAAAGGCACACTACGTATATAGACGTAATTATACGTAACGCTGTTGGATTAGATGGGCTCAATACGTAAACCACAAATATCCGGTTCGATAATTAGGGCTCTCAGCGCTGTTACTGTTATTTGCTACTGTGTGTTATCATTATACCCTTTTCTTGAGAACCCTGCAAAAAAGTCATAGTTATTAATTTTTGAAAAAGAAAAACAAACAAATAGCTAATAATCTAGTTCAAGGATGGGGCTTAACTTTGCAGTTAGGATCGAATGTGTGTGGAAGAAGCTTCTAGACCTGAAGAACCTATTTGCACCAACCTCTGTATTGAAACCAGCGACCTCTCAATAGTGTTCTTCGGGGGCGAAAATGCCTTCTCCAACCGTCGCAGGATCCTGCACTTCAATGAAGGCGAGTTTATCTTTTGACGATATCTTTTTCTTACATTGTGAATACAGTATTTGTGGTGATACTCCTCCGCCGTCGTTGGCAATTCGCAGGGTTCGATTGACGGTAATAAGGTGGCGGGTGAACTTAGTTCGGCCGACGACGGCGCAAACTCATGAACCGTGTCGTTTAAAATAGATGGCATCTTTCCGTCATTCTTACCATCGATATCACCTAATATAGCAATAAAAGCACGAAATCAAAACGTTTACGTCTGTATTTATCTTAATGCTAGATGAGACTGTTTTCGAATTGTTCCATTTATCAGATAGCATCACAACGGCCAGATCTGGATCATTCATAGCCGAACTGCCATATGAAGGCTAGTTATTTCTAGAACGAGAGAAGAAGAGAGAGATTGAATGACTAGTGTAAGCCGCAAACCAAAGCAACATTTTCACGGTCCCTCGTCCTGATCTTTTTCTCTTCCTAATGCCATACTCGACAGAACTAGATTGTTTTCTGTGGCATGCCGCCAGGTTATAATATAATACAATGTTCTCGTACACTACAAGAGCACAAGCACACGCACACGCACACTACGTAGCAAGCATGCACAAAAAGTGGTTGCTACAAATTTATCTCACATTACGAAGACGGGCAAAAAACTTAGAAAACAATATTGACCTCGAGCTTTCGAGTACCGCTTGTAATGTAACTATACTTCGACGTTATTTCGTAATATTTGGTAGCTGACGCGCTCTAGTAGTAGAACACTAAATTTTTATGACCGGCGATCCCTGCTGATCCCGTTAATTACAAAATTACAGCCGAAATAGACGTTTCCAAAGGAACACAGAATTAAAATAATAATTGCGAATCAGTACGGAAATCGCTTTGATCGAGTTTGTTTTTACATTTTCTCCGTTACTTACAATAAGCATGTATGTATACCGTTCTATTACGGAAGCTCACCTTGCTGACTTCCGGCCCTAAACCTTATTATAGCAAATTAGCGTAATATAGTGAAAAATATAGCAAAATCGATTCCGCCAGATGTATTTTCGAAATACTTGCCAACTTCCTCTCGTTTGTTCGAATAAGCTTTGTTGTTCGTGCCACCTGATGGGTTGTTGTTACCATCAATAGAACAATAACAAGCACGTCACATACGATCGTATTTTCTATGATACAGATTAATAATAAAGTAGCATTCTAACGTCTCAAGCACGTTCAGTCTGATTGTTTTAGCAATTTCAGCCCCAATGAAGGCTAAGCCTGCCGCTTCTAATCGTTGTACATAGTTTAGCCGTTGCAGACAAAATTGCTTTACCATGCATGTCTCTAGCTACATAGGAATGAACACTGAACTTGGCGCTACAGAACGACCCTCTTGCAGGACGGCGTTAACTCGACTGACCCTTCATTCGATGTGCATACTTCTTGACCAGACAGGTGCAATAGTTCTTGCCACCTGTTGCACACGTTTAGTGAAAAACTTGTCGTCATCATCGCGCCAACGAGACCCATTATTCGATGAAAAGGCGTCTGCTATTGCCGTGGTTAGTGAAGGCGAGTGGCAGTCACTCCACGTAGGAGGCCATACCAGCAGGCTTACTTGCCGTAGACGCTAGCTGAAGCCGTACGGTCAGCTTGCATTTTGTGTACGACAAACTCTATCCAACCGAACGATGGACGAACCGAAATTGAGCAAAAAACCGTCGACCAGCGATCTCATCATGAATACTCTACGGGAGATGCCCAAAGATAGAAAAGGTGAGGAATATAATCGCGTGGTCTCTCGGGTACCATGGGGTCATTTTAGGCCCACGCAGACATTGCTACTCGTGTATACAAAGTGTTTTAAGAAACGCAAGGGAGCCTGCCCACACGATTTGCAAACCGCTGATTTTGTGAAACGCAAGCACAATTGTAATGTTTTAATGTTCTAACTATGTGACCTGCTAGGTGTTACCGGAGCCGACGCATAATTAAGATGTGCGTTTACGATTGTCTAAAGTTCCACCAAGCCATACCCTTTACTGTGTTTGGAGAGATCTAGGCTTTTCTCACTTTTGAAATCGTGGTCATGGTAGCTTACGCGATTCCCTTCACACGAAAATTAAATTCGAACAAACATAGCTGTGTATACAATCTCAATGATACGATTCACCTTGAAATACAGACCTATTTAATGGCCGCAACGTATTATCCATCGGTGAGAATTTTCGTCGTTTGAGCTAAATCGATACTAGATACGACATAATTATCTAACTGCGTCGTCATATACTCTCAATTCGGTTCGATTCTGTTAGGACACAGCGTACTAAGTCTGAAAAAAGCGATTCTAGAGTCCAACCCTGAAATAGGAGACTCCAGGTTCAACACGCGCTTCAACAAGACTATCAATACAATGCTCGAGAAAAATCTTCTCGCAAGGCCTAAAGGTGAGATAATTAATTTTGAAATTAGAAGAACTGCTGGTGATGCTGTGAAAAAATAGTCCATGCTATTGATTTAGTGTTTTGCTGTATTCAAATGTATTAACGTTGTAGAAATTAACAAGCTGCTTAGTAAACGTGTGCGTAATTGTTCAGTCAAACTGGATCACGTTATTTGCTTGATGTCTATGTCTACCTGTTTCTAGGTGCGGAGGACGCTAAAGGAGCCACTGGTCGGGTAAAGATTGGCGAAACCAAGTCGGATAAGGAAAGAGAGAAACCGAAGGCTGCCGCCCAAAAAGACCAGGATGGGGCTTCGACAAAAAAGTTAGCCAAGGACAAGGATGAAAAAGAGGAGACTATCAAGGAGAAGGATCAAGAGAAGGTGACCAAGAAGACCGGAGTTACCCAAGACGATAAAAGTCCAAAGAAGGCAACCGTTCTGAAAGCCTCCAAAACCGACGACGCTGAGAAGTCCATGGGTAAAAAGGCCACTGGCAAAAAAGCTTCGGCTAGTACTGAAGAGGCAGAGTCTCCAGAGAAATCCGTTAAACCAAGAGGACGACCAAAGAAAGTCCAGAATGGGTATGCTAAGGCTCAAGAGAATGGCGACGGACCGGCAGAGGAGTCGGCAAAGAAACGTGTCGCGCCGAAGCCCGGCACTACCAAAAAAGGTGCTGAGGGGGCTCCTGCTGAAACAGAGGCTCTTACCGCGAACGGTATGAAGAATGGCACAAAGAAGCACTCCGACGACGAGGGTAGCGAATCTGTTGCGGGTCCAAGGCTACCAGCCGAGTCCAAGAAAGGCCCCGCCAGAAAAAGAAGTCCTGTCGATAAACAGGCGGAACGCGAAACAAACCAAGACCCGTCCGACGACATCGGTGCCAAACCTGTCAAAAAAGGAGAGCTAAAGGCACCAAAAGGCCGAAGTAAAAAAGATGGTTCATCTGATGGCGAGCCGGTCAGCAAGAAAGCGAAGGGCAAAGGTAACTTGAATGCTACAACACTTTCAGTGTACAACGTTCGCAAAATTTGTAAGGTTCCTTTACGTATCTTGCAAGTCGTTCTTAACAAAGAGTCATTATGTAGTTGAAGTTGTTTTATTGCATGCATAATTTGGTTTTCTGATAAATTAACAAGGTGTTTTCTTCTGATTTTCAGGGAAGAACTAGTTATGGTTTGTCGGATTTTTCAGAGAAAACTAGTTATTGTAACCTCAAGTGGGTATAAAGAAATGGTTTATGTATATTTGTAAACTTTGTACATCATGGCTATAATAATGTACATCGCTAAATACTGTGTTATGATTGTTAGGCAACGAACGGCTAATGGTAATAAATTTTTCGTGTGTCAATTGTATATCCTGGTCTTCGCGTTCAATTACCAAGCCGATAATGTACGGCGCTTGTCAGCTAATTGTATATAATTGTCACTTATCATAAACGTGAACGACATTATAATCATTTAACATACACCCTTTATTTTATATGTAATTTCTGTTATATATGTCAGAGAACGGACGAGCTCAATTGCGAGTTCTTCGCAGGTGACGCATCCAGCTGAATGTTGCAACAATGTTTTCATGATGAAGAATTTGTAAAGGCCAAATCGGCGAAAGGCATTATCGATTTACGCCACAGGCAGGCAAAATGAAACCTGTTTAGTTTAGAACTGGGTTTTCTCCGGTTTATATACAACAATGTCCTCGTACGCTCCACTCACCTATCTTCGTTAAAACGCAGTAACACGTTCGGCGTTTTGTGTACTTCAATGAAAAATGATGTTGTCAATGTCTGTAGGCTGAAGTAGTGGGAATATCTGACTCGCATAGTCAATATCCAGTATTTGAATTTTCTGAGTTGATTCCTTTTTATTTACATATCTCCGAGATCGTTATTTCTTCAGGGCGCTGCCTGTGAGCGGCGTCGGTGACTATGCAAATCCTCTACAGACAACCCTGATACCATCTAGATATTGAAAAAACAAGCGTATAGTTAAAAAAGCTAGAAGGAGCTCAAAGAAACAATACGAATGTATCCGTCGAATATACATAAAAAAAAAAAAGTCTTCCACTGCTATCAGTTTGTTGGTCTGTGTCAAAGCGCGGCTTTAACGTCTCTAACGGACGGACGGCCTTCTCTAGCAGATACGGCGAATGGCTGTTTTGCGTAAGATACGTCAGAACCAGAAATAACGTTTGTACTCACTGAGTCTATACATCGAATTGAAACGACAAAATTCGCTATTCACGCTAGAACGCGTCGAAACGTGGGGCAGCCGTTAGCGTGCTACTTACCGCTACAGTTTTTCAATTGGTGTTCCGTGTGTTTATTATAATGATGAAATTCCAGTAGCGATTTGCGTACGAACGTTAATCACAAACAAAGTTCAAAATGGTAGTATATTACAGTACAGTCATTTTGGTATTCTACACACGTATTTTGGGTACGTCAAGACCAGCTCGCCTCAACATATTCATCCATTGTATATACTGATCCCAGATTCTAGTTTTGATACGACACGAAACAACTGGCCGTCTAGACGTCGGAACCAACTCTAGAAAGCATTAAAACGTATATACAACTGGGTATGGCGAGCAGCGCATGAGATCACTTTTGGCTCAAGAGATAATACCTACTTGGTAGCAATCTATCTGTAACGCGTAGTAATAAAATCAACGCTACGAGAAGTGGTGCAGAAAAGCCAAGCGTGTCCTCTGCTGCGGAGTGCAGGGATGCGAAGTCGCACGTCTTCGCATCTTAAATGTTGAATTAATCGTCGTGGCCTTATTATAATGACAAGGCCTGGTAGGCCGCTGTAGAGCAGTTTACAGGTAAGGTAAGCTGTGGTACCGTGCTATGAATTATTTCACAGCAAATTTCTGATAGCATGACAAATTTAACGAAATAATTCAGTTTCAGCCGCATTGTCTTCTAGATAACGTGTGGCTGTTTGCAAGCATAAGCAGAAGAAAAAAAACGTTTTGTTTACGCGTACATATGCAAACGAGGGGTACGGATAGTACTAAATGTTACCGTTTGCTGCTAACTTTAATTCAGTCTACGGATAACTTTAAGCAGAAGAGCCACGCCACAGCCAAAAATGATTTGTAACAGAATTCTAACACTAACTGCAGAAAAAGATTTTTAAAGGACTTTGTATACGCACTACCTGCAAAAAAAAGGGGGAAATCTAAACCGCCGTAAACGTCCGGCTTAACAAGCATCAGTCCGGTTCGAAGTACACATTTTTGCTTCTGGAAACCGATAGGCAAACCTGCCCCACCGGTACCATTAGCGTGGCAATGCAAAAAGTCCACTCCTTTCTCTATACAAAATAATTTAACATTCGTACATCAACGATCTGGACTAATGCTAGTCATCAAATTGTAACTCGAGGACTGATCGGCGATGACTGACTAATTGCAGGATAATATCGATTGATTTTCGGATGTTGTCCTGAAGCATACGGCACTTTTCCAGTACATCGAAAAATAAAGCATAATGGTCCTGCTGATCTCCCAACGACGCTACGAGAAGTTGATGCAGAACGACCATCCAGAAAAGCTCTTCAGAGTGCTGAAGCATCAAGTGAAGATGTTCCAGGTGCCTGTAAAGAGCAGCATCATCTGTAACAAAAAATGCCTAAAGTGAATATCTAGCCAATGTATGAAATCAAAAGCATGACCTTTAAAAGTATCGGCTTTCCAGGATTGCATAATAGATATATTAGTAATACTTTTTTGGCCATTTAGTAATGATTAAAGACTGAAGAAGAAATATTTTTTCGGTTCATTGGTTTGCGTGTTCGAAAAGGCTATCCTTTCATGGAACAAGCTTCGTCCTAACTAGCTGAAAGGTAATTGTCCGCTACTTTAGCTGTAACGCCGCACGAAGCACCGAGAAGGTTCCAAACGAAGCGCTGCGTGATTTAAGGAAATACGTCACTTTAAAGACAATCAATTGAAACAATATTTTACATTTCATGCGAAATCTAATGTATCATCGTCATAAACATTTGCCTATTTTAATCACTGTTAAGCAGAGGACTGTTTCGAAACGTGGCACCTTTCGTAAATAGAACTTTACAGACACACGCATGACACATGCGTTGGGTGAGACGACTATTACCATGTGCTTCACAGTTGTTCGTACATCCCTTCAAACTCTCTTCACTCCGATGCTTAAGCCGTCCACATTACCAAAAGTGGCATTGACGTTGGGTTCGCGGTATCTTCGTCATGGCGAAAGTGCACTAACCGGCTTCAAGGCCAAAGTTGGTCAGAGAAAACCAACCCGCTCTTCAGTCGCCCAGGATAATTCATGCCCAAGTTTTCCTACTATTATTAAATGCATTATAAGGAAGCACTGCAGGAAAATTGTCATTCGGTATAATGTCGTGTTGCACAATGAAGAATTACATTTATGAAACAATAACTATTAGCCGAGTTATAGAACCAAGAGCCAATCTTATGGCACTCATCAATCAAATTTGCGCGGCTTTTTTCAAGGTTGCGGACGCCACCTTCTTTATGAACCTCACCATGAATCAGCCATCACCTTTGATCAGCCTAGGAAAGTTATGTGCTCTACGTTGCGTATGAACGTGACGAATGCTCTATTGATATCTACCACTTCAACCACTGTCAAGTGGAATGGCAAAGGATTTTTCAAGAACATCAATGAAGAGTTTCCATATTTATGCTAATACTTACCGAATATCTGATGCGGGATGAGAGCTTGGAGCGTGTTTGTCATTTTGGAAACACTTTAAATTGACTGAAAGCACTTGTGTGTCACTGTCTCAGCATCACGTATTCATTTCTGTTTGATGCTAACTATCTTCATCTCTATGCACCTGGTGCACGCGCTTATTATGCCATAACTCGTCACAAAATATAAGTCCTGCAGATGGTAATTCTTGTCCTATGCGAGTAATCTTCTGACGACAATTCGTCAATAACGTATAGAATCTCCGAAGAAGTCGAAATAGACTTGTTGCTTTGGATCGTCTCAGTCCGCTCGATATTTCTTCATTCGTGTTCAGCGTTAGAGTTAGCTTACAAGCGAACTATAAGTAGACTGGCGCTCTTTTCTTTCTAGTCCGGGAGCAATTGTAAGCTTTCGGTATTGCTTCTTTACTGCCGGCAGTCTACAGTTCTGTGTCTGATGGAGTCGCGCTGGCAATGCGATTCGCGCGCGTCGCGGAAACGGTGCTCCATCGGAAGGCGCACAGCCAGTCCAGCAGCGCAGACAATCCGGCGGCATCGACTGCAACGCTCAGTCACATCCGAGCGCCGTCAACGTGCGAGAGATGCGAATATCTAACCCGTCAACCCAGCTGCCGAATAGAAGAGCTGCGACGACACACCACGGATGAAAAGCTTACTGGCTCGCACAGCAAAACATATAGATATCGCCGGACAGACAATTACTGGCTGGCGCGTAGACATAATAGAAGCGTACACTCACTGACGACGCTCGCTCTCAACGGCGGACGCGTTTGACTAACTGGGACACTGAAATACTGATAGCGTAACTGAGTTCTGTAAAAGCGCAAATTGAAGAACGCGCCGAAAATCATTATAGTAGTCGATGTGTTCTTCTTTACTCGCAAAATGATAAAGGGCATGGAGGTATATCTGCAGACGGAGAACTCGGTTGTACGAGTGTTAAAACGTCCACTAGGACATGCTGGTCGAAAATGGCGTGCGAAAATTTAAAGCATTACTGTAGACCAGGAAGGGAAGGCTCGCCTTCGATGGCATAAATGTTCTGTGTGTAAAGGCTTTCGGCTGGCCTGGCGCGAAAATATCTAACTGGCTCGTAACAAAAAAAGGCCTCGTGAAGAATCGCACTCAAGCGGCTATTTAAACCGGTTAACTTTGAGAGAGAGAGAGAGAGAGAGAACGCGGAAGAGGAAGCGTCGAGTACAAAACCGGTTTTTAGAGCGTCGTAACGTTTTGGCGCCAATTGATTCACAGTAGAGTTCAGTAGATACGGGCTAGCCTAAGTTAACAAACTACAGAACCTAACCGTTTGGCCACCTGTTTCCCTTCCGTCTCGTGCCTACACACAACCTCAGCAGTGAGAAGATAGAGTTGAATAAATTACAACGCTAAGGATAATTCCACCGGTGCTTAAGGGTACGAAGGATTTTCTCGTGCGTAGTCTACATGTAATAATATGAGGTAATTAATTTTAATTATGAAATAATTAAGACGTATAAAATAATAGTAAGTAACACAAAGAATGTAAATATTCAGCTCTTTCACGAAAATGTCGGCAACGAGTCTATGCAATGATACGCTTCTAATGGCATAGGCTGGTCATTTAATATCAGCAAGATATATATTCTACGCCCAGGTAAATTCTATATTTGTTCTTATTCTTATCTTATATTCCATATACGATTGTTTCAGTAACTCTGCTGGAACGTACGCTGCCTGAATCCTGTGTTTGCCATATCGTCAGATATGGCGAAAATCATCGCGATTTACCATATCGTAGTTCAGTGACCTGCCGAAGATGTACAAAAATAAAGCCTCATTGCGAAGGGACGACGTTGCGTAGAGATCATTAAGTCGTAAGTTTTCAGGGCGTAACCTTCAAAGACTGATCCGATTCGAAGAACGCTTGTAAGCATGGCATTATTTGTTGTTGTTGCGGCAATCATTCTTTCACAAAAATCATGCGAATGGACTAAATGCAAAGGCGACGTTGATTGATTATCAATCGCGGACCTTTTGCGTCAACTTGTATTATTCAAGGTTTTAAAAAATTCAGGCGTAAATACAGTTACAGAACCGATGATATTCGCGGCGTTGTCTCAGTAGGCTGCCGCTAGAGGGAGCAGCATTAAACATCAACGCCATTCGGAAATTATTGCTTTTCCGTGAAAAAATGTTTTGCTGCTCTATTTAATGCTTGTGTACAATCGTTCTAAGTTGTAATACCAACTAAAACAATAGGGAATTTCATTCTATGTATGTGAGCTTTTTTGAATTACTCCTAAAGCCTTTCATCAAACGATCTTAGAGTTAAAAATAAAACCAGAGAATGATCCTTGCAAGTTACTTCTTCCCAAACACTATCCAAGCTCAATTGTGCTGTAAAGCATTTGTTATTTTCGAAGAATGAACCGGGCAAAAATCTTTTCTAGCTACTAGTCGAGTTATTTGGCTAGTATCTACAACAGTAGATATTCATCCGTGGGCGGGCCAGCACCTAAAATGTGTCCAACATAAGAGCTATCTACCAGACATTTATACGCTTTTGCACAAAACTTCAAATAGACATGTTCGATGCTCATTTGCTAGCTTAGTACAATATTCTGGTACAATATTTCATCAGTGAGTCTTCTAATAACCTTACTATCTCTCGTGCAGTATATACCATGTTTATGTACAATATTTATAGCTACCACCGACATGATGCGACCAATACACCATTAAAGAAAGCTAAAACACCCTACACAAACATGAGTCTTAGTAGACTTAAATCTAAGTCATAGATGTCCAAAAGGACTATGTAAGACTCAGAAGACGAAAAAAATAGAAGTGTATAGTCGAAGTAGTAAAGAAACGACGGATCAGAGTTTAGGAGATAGTATGTAATGGTTCATCCAGAGTAAAGCAAGCATTTGAATGCTTTTTCTAGCATGTCTAACAGGGCCACATCATGTTATTATAGATAAGCTTACCAAAAAAAAAACACCCGATAAGTAAGGAAAACGTGATACAAGGGTAGGCTTCTTTTTAATTTGATCGATATCCGATCCATAAGTATTCCGGTAGCTAGCTTTGAGCGGAGCTGCTTAATACGTGCCTGAGCATAAAACGTGTGAGTGCTCAGTGAGGCTGTAAAAAATTATCGTTTCTGGCAAACAGTTAGCGTTGGATCGTCCCTGTAACTACACAACAGGATCTTTCATGGTATTAATTGTGTCTGTAAAATTTGGCTTACTGAAAGACATGGCATTAGAAAAATCAGTCTAACCTGAATAACAAGCATAATTTATTTCGTTCGAACATGGAGAAAATTACAGGAGAAGAGGGGGATAAAGAAAAAAGTATGACCGATAATATTGTCGCAATGCTTTCGTTCTGGCATAAAACAATTGCATATTGTATCTGCCACTATTTTTCTTGCGGAAAATGAAAGAACTCACGAGTCAGTGCTCTGCAAGTAAAACAAAGCAATCAGAGTGTAAGACCTGTTAATTTTTGGTATTTTACTTGCTTTGCTCTGTTTAGACCTTTTACATGGGAAGGGAAATTTTGCATCTATTCCTAGAGCTATACGTCTTTGCGGATAGCGTATTTTACTATAAGAAAGTCTTTTTTGACAATTTGACCAAGAATATTATTTTCGAAAATCTCCATAACGATGAGCCGGTAACGAGGTCATTATGCTTAGAAATGGGTGTTAGTCGAGCGCTTATAGAACTTTGCTTTGGAAGGACACCCAAGGGCATTTGACTGGGACCAATAGATGGCGACCTGACGTTATCTGGAACGTGCTTAACCTTAGGTGAATTGCTCAGCCGTAACATTACGAGGGACTGCTAGAAGCCAAATTAAAATTAGGTTAAATAACACTTAGGTTAATTTAATTGCGTAAGTGCATTTTTCTAGCATAGCTGCAATAGCTTTTGGATTCAACAGGTGAAAATGTTCAATGTTCAAAGCGGAACAGTCGAACGACGGCCTACGGTTTATCATCTCCCGTGGCCAGGTACCATCTTCAACTTCTTTTCGATAGTCGTCATATCATTGCGGAGTCTAACATACAGAGCTACTGGTGAGATACGATGCTTATTGGAACCCTGTCTATGTTTACCATTAATAGGCAGTATGGTTCAACGAATGCCGTATTGGCTTGCCATATCAGTATTTGGCAGATGCGAGAATATATAATTAATGTGTTTGCACTATATTTAAATTTAATTAACTGGAAAATAAATATGTAATGCTAGAAGACTTAGTGGTGATTAGGAATTTGAATGTTTGTCCAATTATACAAAATCTATAAGCGCTGCAGAGCCTATGACTTTTCTATTGACCTGATTATTTTTCCATAAGATCTTGGCAAACTACAGAAAAACAGCAAATGAAATCACATCTCCTACTCGTTTGTTGTACGCTCAAGAGACGCTGCGTCCGTTAGTAAATTAAAATTTTGTACATAGTACGCTTGTTTTACTAGCCACTGGATCATCTATAACTAGAACCTACCTATAATCGCATTAAAAAACATTTTACCGCCAGAAGAAGCCAGCAGCTTTCAGTGGGGACACTTGCTTGCTTAATAATGGCTAGTGACAAAACCTTTCATGAATCTATTCCGCTTTTTTCTTCCTTAAATTTAGTAACTGGAAAAATAGTTTGATTCAGTACCTAGATATACTCTGAAAGAGCTCGTCCGTAAAGCTATTAGAAATTAAAATCAATCTATTGATGCAGCAATCGATGTTTTATTTCGGTCTGTTTTTATACCGAGCTCGAATACGTCAGGGAAAGTCATCGAACTAGTTCTTTCAGGTTATTAGTTGAATATTTGTTTTGGTTGTTTTTCAGCATGTGCAAGATATGACATCGATCTTTCTAAATATGAAAGTACTTTACATATCGTTGTCACCTTGTCTAATTAGATCTAGAGATACACCAAAATCGCCAATCAATCGCAGAATTTCTATAATGCTAGCAGCTTTCTTTTGTATGCTGCCCATTAGCTCCGAGCCTCGTTCAAGTTCAGCTTCGGTCCACTGAGAGACGCGATTATGAATGTCCGATATGCCATCGAGGGGCAAAAATTCACGCCGGTACCTCGTGAGGTGGTGCAATTGGTCGACCATATCGCTGTCCATAATCAATGAGGTGACGTCACCCCCTGCTAATGTCAACAACAGAAATAGAATGACAACCGTTTAATAAACGTAATAATATCTCAGCTGATCTATATTTATTTAGACGAACGAATTTAGATAAACCCACTTGGACGAACAGTATATAATTGTACAATTTGATGATTCGTCTTGAACTTCATCATATGGAAATATCCGTATAGAAGCCTCTATATATATATATATATGAGACCATTATAGATTCCGTATAAACAGCGGCCCATGATGGTTAAGCTACGATTTAGGAGGAGCAGCGGCATTAGAAAACACCATCTATAATTCATCGTATATAAATTATTATAACCGAATTCGTATTTAGAATACTTTTTGGTGCATCTCACATATAATACATCTAGTCTCTATATCGCACAGATTCTCATCTGAACGAAGAGTAATTTTTTTCCCGGTCTAATACAATAGGTTAGACCCGTTTAAAGTGCAAGTATGTTTGCGATACTTACCCCGCGAACGAGTTGGGAGTTCTTCTAATATGCCAAGAGTACCCTGTATTTTACTCTCGTGGAGAAGAGAAGCTTTTATGATTCGTTCTTCGCAGGGCTTCGGCAGAACAATTCCGTAGTTCTTCTTTAAGATCTGTGTTGTAGAGTGCAGCAGAAAGGAAAAAATTAACGGAACTCACATTGAAACATTAAGATCGCTCCTTGTTTTGATTCCTTGTAGATGCGTTGGTGATATAGTTTGTCTCTATGTGTTCCATAGTGAGACACTTTGACTATCGTGGGGTGTGTTCTGGAATTCACTACTTCTATTTCTTTGGCTAAGTAAAAAATCGTATTTGAAATTGTTAGTTAGTAAAATGAAAAAATTGTTTTTTTTTTGCATTTGTTAAATTGTATTTTTGATGTATTATTTTCGAATGCCACAATAATTAGAACATTTATCAGCGTACCTCAAGTACGTTAAGCGATTTCTGTTCAGTGCGTTTTGCACGTTTAGCGTTTGCCAGGGTCGACCGACCGCCATAAATAGTTGAATTCATACACGCACCTGAGATAATCGATATGTTTGATAAGTTCATATTTAACAAAGAGGTTTCGTCAGATGAAGTTAAATCATTTGAGTTTCCAGTTATTAACTTGCGGCCACCTTTGGACACGGCTGACGAATTCATCATCGTTGATAAACTGGCACAAGCCTAAGGAAATTAAGTTGGCTCAAGATCTCGTAACTTTCTAAGCTGCACGTAGTATTTCGTAACGAAGCGAACCTTCTAAAAGTTCATATTTAGAATTAAAAAAAACAAGGAACTTAATTCAGTAGTAAATAAACGAACGGCGCAGGAGAGCAGCCGCCACCTTCATTCGAGTAGCTAAAAAGCGCGCCCACCTTTCTACTCTTTCTGCCTGAATGAATGAATTGCGCTGGCCGTCACAGCAGCGTCCAGAGAGAGAAAAGCTTCTCGGCTAAAAAAAAAAACGATAACAAATAGAACAATCAGCCATAGGAGACCAAATAAAAATCAATGAAATATTACATTTTAACATAAACACTACAACAGGAACGTTTTAAACTTTACAAAGCATACTTCACCTTACAAAGTTTGTTACCGTACACGATGTAGATACGTAAATTATATATTATGTAATAAGAAATGGATACAAGCGTATTAGAGCAATGCACTTTATGAACGTATGACTGACCAGCGCTTAATTTTCATACACAATCAAGTAGCAGTTCATAAACTTGTTCTGTCCACCTCGATGGCCGAACAGTTTTGGTCCTTCCAGGCCGACTGCTAACTGGCCTGCGGACCCAGTGAGCGCGGTAGAAAGCTTGTGCGTGCAGCTTACTGTCATTGGGCATGTAATGCGTCCAGCCTCGCAATCTCATTTAGCAAACAGCTTTGAGCTAAAACAAAGGTACGATAGCGACTAGGCACAATTTTAACTGCGTCAGTCTATCGTTTACAGATAAAACGATTTTATTCAGGCCATGGATCATTTACGATGCTATATGATTCACGTTATCCTCCGCATCTTCAGAACGCGTCGCAGGGTAGTCGCCAATAGGCCAAGCATTCCGAGCATTGATTTTAAGGTCGGTATGCACACTATTTTGTACTGTTTATAGTCCTCTCGACCTTATTATCTGCAAATGAACCAGTCTCTTTGAACTCTTTAATCAATTACCTCAGTTCTACTTTCGTCAACGAAAAGTCGTCTGTATCCTGTACGATTGTTGTTAAATGTCGCCGTAATCAGCGTTCCACTTCAAATATTTAGGAAAAATAAACGTCGCGTCAAATCCCGATATACCGTCATCCCAGACCGCTAACGTTGCTATTTATCGCGCAACATTACTACCATTCTTTTCTATACGTCCATGCATCGTTCGTCGCATTTCAAACATATACGAACGCTTTAGTATTTTAATATAGTCTTCTTCAAATTATAGGCATAACATTAGGGTGCTGCTTTAATAGGTGTAACATGATTTTAGACGCTCCAACCGCGCCCGTAACACGGAACGCGCGGAGTTATTTCGAGACTTTCGCACTACTCTGTATACTAATATATATAGATATACGAACCGTTGTTCTATAAAAGGCCAGGTTCTGCCGTGTTTATAAACAACGTCGATCGACCGATGTCTCGTCATGAGATCACCTTGCTACGATTCAATCCAGTTTTACAGTAATTATTACAAGTAGGAAGCTAACGTTACCTAACCATTGACAATTGTTGCCCTGAACAAAGAGAGTACCGAAGGTTTCGGCACATTACGGCATAAACATGTCCACTCAGGCGGTCACCATGACCGTACCTATGTTTTCTTGAAGCCAACGTATTTTTCGTTAGCAGCTGTCGCAGTTTCCCACTTGATGTCACGTGAAAGTCCGTAGAGCGTTTGCGTCTGATGCGATTTTCCAGACGGCCTTAATGAAACGGCTCCACATGAGCCGTCTGGGTCCTTCGGGTGCTTTGAAACTTTACTGTGCAACAATACAGTTACTAAGACGTTACTCGTGTGTAGTTTAGCCTGTCTTTCTTTTCTCTTTGTTGATCCTGGACAGAGACTGGCCTATCCGATGTAGCATCGAGCTAGCTTGATTGAACGCTGAATCATTTATCGCCCGCTTTTAAAACAATGAGTGCTAGGCCAATCTGGACACTTCGTACACCAAACCTAAACGCTCATTGGGAAAGGTTTTATTCGGCCAAAAGCGCCGGCTTATTCCACCTTCACCTTTGAACATGGCAGCCTGCGGTGACATCGTCCGTATACAAGTGTGCCACAATGGGCTGCTAGGTTCGATCACAAGGGCCTACAGCCATAGCCTTAAACACTCTCCTCGTGAACTATCCCTTAGGGTAACTGATGGCAGCCCAGAGAGGGCGGCTACAACTACAACAGCCAACTTTTGTCAATCCTTGTTGAGCTGAGCTGAGCTGAGCTGTTAACACTATGTTGGTTGAATGCTCGCCAAATAGCGATAACAAATAGTCATCCATACTTGCTGCCTAGTAAGTTTTTTCCTCATAATAAAAAATAATCTAAAAAAATATGCGTGTTAAGCTCGTTATTTGCAAATTTTTACTCACTAGCAACTTCGGAACCTGCAAAGCTTTTTCCTGTCATTGTGTCATTAGTGCAAGTAGCGGCTAAAAACTTACTTTACTTAACAGCTTAGTTATTCTATTGTCCTTGGCACATAAACAGTCCAGTCAAATGAGGTCAGCTAGATATTTAGCACATTTGTGTTTAGTCTCCGCGCTCGGACCCCATATGGGCACGCAGTTTTTTTCTATATAAAAGCCGCTCCGTCGGCTTTCTGGCGATAGCACATGTAACAACATGGCCGCTAGGAACGCATCTAATTGTGGAAGGAAAGCTACTTACTAAGAAGTACGATACAGTTACTCGTCGCCACAACATTGGAACTATTGCTTGCGCACCGTCCAACTATCCGATCTTGTTTTTTCTCCGTTTATGGAAAACCATAGATGATTTTTCAGTCTCATTTATTTGACAAGAACGACGTGAATGTTAATAATTTTTGCGCTTTCGTGACTAGATGTGAACTCGTTAGAATGATGTGGGCCGTAACTTACATCTACATTTCGTTAGCGCAATTGTGAATAGATGCAATGCAGCTAAATCAGAGGAAAAACGCTGCTCCAGGTACGAAAATGGGGCCCAGATGGGAACAATGTGTTCGTGTACAACAAGTCACTATGTCATCTAGCAACGTGTGTTTTAGGCTTTTATTACTTAATCCAATGGAAAATGTGATCAGTCATATGTGAGAGCGTATCAAGCATAGGAGAGGAGGTCAACATTTTTCCGGTCCGGGGCGAGACGTAGGTGGTTGCGGAAGTGCATTGGGAGCATGCCCAACGGGGTTCTAGCAATGATCGCAAGTAGGCGTGGGGTAATCAAGCACTAGCCCCAGTGACTGACTTTCCGACACAATCGCTACGCGTGCTATCATTCGAAAACAGAGGGCAGCAGCCTTTACATAAAAAGCTATTTGAATTAAGTAGCTATTTGGATCATATATTTCGACCATGTGTGAAATTTCTAGGTGGCCTCATTTGATAGACTAACGATCGTATACATTGACATATTATAAACCAGAAAAAGTTAACTCTCTAATGTCCTGTATGATAAAATCGTAAAGAAACTTACTGTTTTTTTTTGTTGATATCTGGCTCAACTTATCTTATTTCCAGACATGAAGGTGGTAATAGTATATAAGATTTATTAAAAAAAAAAAAATCTTATGAAAGGAAAAAAGCGAACACTTTAAGTATTTACAGAGAAAATTACCAGAGTTTGAGCTGATAACAAGTTCTAGGCATTAAGTCAGATACATAAAATACACAGTTCAAAGAAAATTAGTTATCTGTAGGTAAACAGTTTTGTAAGTGTGTTTCCTTCTCAAATGTAGACTATATTCTCGCCTGGCCAGGTGATTTATTGGCATGTGTTTACGAATATCATCAGCAAATATCGGTTCAATTTCGACCTATATTCCAGGTAACTTATAATTGTGATTCTCCCTTAATCACTTATTGAGGCTACTAAAGAGTGAAGTTGTGGAACTTAACATGGCCGTATCCTTTTATATTCTAGCTCGAAAATCAATAAGCACTTACCATTATTTTTATTTCCCTGCTGTTGCTACCAGGGAAATATGGCTTGCCAATATATCTCCTTCGAGGAACAATCTGATAATGATGATGGTTGATGTAGACGTAAAAGTGGAAAAACGCGATTGGGTGTTATTAACATGGTATTGTTTAGTTACGCGAATGACAGCTAAGGAACAGCTGGCGAAGTAATCACGCCTTGCCGGTAGAGACTCGTCCTGGTCGCGTTCCTCGCCTCGTATAATTCTAATCCAACTATAGGAAATAATAACAATAAACAAACAATCCATCGTCTTGTTCTATGTACATTACAATAGAAGATTCGCAGATATTTTATTCTAATTAAGACTGGTCTTCGTTTAACTGTAGCATGCAGTCGCGCGTAACGTTCATGTATAAAAAACGCAAACCTTAGGCTTGACTACTATGTCCGGCTCTTTCAAAGTCCTAATTGACTGAGCATGACGGGTCCTCAGGACATTGCTACAATATTAAGAAACAGTGGGTATTTGTTGTTTTATTAAAACAATTTATGAACGCATTTAACACCGATTTCTTTTGTAGGTCGATCCTCCAACTTACCAAATCGATCCCAAATCGATCGAGGCTTCCCAAAATAACACGAAAGCTTTTTTGTGTAGCGGTATAAGCTAACGCTGTTTTGTACAGAGAATAAATGCTCTGCAGGCAATTCTCATGTACATCAAGCGGATATCTATCTCATTTCGCCAATTTGTACATGGCAAAAAACGTAATCTGCAAGTGCCATTGTATTAGAGCACGATAGTGCGTTAAACTAAAATAAGAAATCCAATGACCCCAGTAAATTGTCTACGTAAAATATACATATATGTACCAAGAGGCAACGTCCTGTTAAATCACACAGTAAGTCTATCCTTTGATATATATAAAAAAAAAAAAAATTGTACAAAAGCAATATTGGGTACAGTGGAACGGAAAAGGGGCATACAAATATATATCTAAATAATCGTTCATGCACGATTCATACAAAATGCCGGGAAAAAAATGTTGTCCTTAATCATGGAGTGCATTATCAATGGACTCGGGTTAGCTTTAGACAAAAAAGACTTTAGTTTGCATACTCTCGTTTATACACAACGTCTCAACACAGTTATTTCGACCATGAACCGGTCAGCTTCAAAATTTTTATTATCAGTATTCTTATTTTCGAACTCTGCAATAGTTCACAAAGCTACTACTGTATTATATCGGAGGACCAGAACTCTGTTTCGAAATTATTCTGTGAAAATAATTTTCATATGAGAACGCCCTAAAAACGAAATGGATGATATAAGGACCGTATGTGGTAGTATATGAATATAGTAAATGACTCATTTGCCGCATATATATCGCTTGCTTTATACGTTTCTGCTGTTTTTTTTTCTACGTGCATATAATTTTTTTTTAATCTGGCCTACAATGGAAATCAGTCATTAGATTGAAAATGCTTCAGAGATGAAGAACGAAACGATCAACGTCTTCAAAAATGATTACTTAGATCTTTGTGCATCTTGATCGATCTGTACATAGTAAATGGTATACTGCTGCGACAAAGCAACGTCTATTATTTTCGATAACGAATTGTCCTAGCGAGTTTAAAATCCGTACAATCGTTGATAGTTGAATGGGATTTTGGTTTGTTTCATGCAAGGCCGAGCTAGGTGACCTGAAGTAACCTCAAGTTTCACTATAGACTTACAGATGGTAAATGTGGTTCAGTAATCTGTAGACGAAAATTAATAGGGATACGGGCATGCGAATGCAAGATGTCGAAAAAAGGATCTTAATAAGGGGCTTGTCGTTAACAATAAAGGTCGCCAAACTGCTACAGAATCGAAACACATACATAGATAAATATATCGAATAGAAGCATCGTTTTCATATAAAAGAATACATTGAACTACATAGCTACCTGCTATATTAATAGGCATTATAGTACAGTTGATGTCTCATAATATTCAGTGGCACAGACAAGGTGAGAGTTCCAAACAGACCGAGGTAATTTTTCGATACCATAAAAGCCCATTTTTCTTTTTTTAGCGAAAACCTCTCTAAGCATCAAGAAGGTGTTGCGCCATCAGCGGTGTCCCTTTCAATAAGATGTAGAGAAAGAATATATTGCCTGGGCTAACGACCTCAAATGTTTAGTCCTTAATTTAGGTAGCTT